CCAGAGCAGATCTTCCACCTGGTGCCACCGCCGGCCGAGCTGGTGCAGAGCCTGCGCCCGAGTGGGCCAGCCTTGGCCCCTGGTCCCCGGCACCGCGATTCGGACTACGAGGTGGAGGCGCCGGGCCGGGGCCACATCCGCGCCATCGACAACCAGTACACACCGCTCTGATGGGTGCCGCGCCAGCACTGAGATGCACTTTCGGTGGAGAAATCCTAGAGACCTTCTGGGTATCCCATCGAGAGAAAGAATGTACGTAGTTTCTTCCTTCTGGTTAGGGATTATTATTATATTTTTGCAAGGAAGGGGGCAATTTTTCACTCCAGTATGGGTGTGCTCCCTCTCTTTGGCCTGTTAAAGGGCCTTTTTTTTTTTTTTTTTTTTGTTATTTTAAAAGCTTTCTTGTTACTGTTTACACATGCCGCTCCTGCCTGCATCCCTGCGTGCCGAGCATCGTGCCGTCGGGCTCGGTCTCCCGCCTGTCCCTGACACATCAGCGCCCAGTGAAGAAACCGGGGTCTTGTGTTACACCCATATAATTGGAGAAAGACTTAAAAAAAAAGGAACAACAACAACAACAACAACAACAAAGTGGATTATAAATTCATCGACCAGTTGCTGCTGTGGGCTGCGTGCAGGTGAAGACGAGCCCTGTCCTCCCGCCCCAGCACGTGCTGCCGCTGCCAAGCCCTCCAGCAAACCCCGACCTGCCGGAGCTGAGCTCCTGCATCGGATGAAGATGATGATCGCGATCAGAGTTTGGGCTTTATTTTTAGATAAGGCAAAAACTGGCTTTTCTTGCTCTTCTTTTTTAACCTAGCACAGTTGCAGTCACTCCCTGCACCAGCCAGAGAAATACGACATCAGTGTTGCAAATTAAGACGTGAACACTAACTGCTCCATCATTAATAATGTCACCAGCTGAGAACTAATGCTGAGACTGACAGCAGATAACTCCTCCTGGTGATGGAAGCATTTTAGGCACAAATCTTAACTGGGTTTTTCCCCAAAACATTTTTTTACCTTGCCAGCACAGGCGGCTGCCCACCCCGCTCTCGCTTGCCTCTTATTTTTTCCCCTAAACCACTCTAACCA